AAATTTATTTATTCAGAAAATTTTGATTTTCTGAATAAGTAAACTTAACAGGCAAGCATCTAGCATGTTTGGAAAAGCTCTTGATGAAATGTTGCAGGCAGGAATTGCAAAAGCAACTTAACTACTGTACTTAACTAATAAATCTCAATGCAAATGCAAACAAGTATTGCTGTAACCCTTCATTATCTTAGAATGGTTCCAAAAAATAATTTTTGGGTCTAAGTGAAAAAAATTGAATTGAATGTGAAATGTTTTGCACTATGAAATCATTAAAAAACCAATTATCCAACATTTCATATTTTGAGCTAAAAATACTGAATGAAAATTTTTATTTGGCACAAAAATCTATCACAATAATTCAAGCAGTAATGAAGCAGTAATTGGGATTTTAGTATCAAACCAATAACTCAACAACCGGGGTTTCCCTGTATATGATTTGCTTTATTTGATAACAGAATATCAATTTCAATCAATTACTTTATGAAAGATAATGTTTAAATATTCACATTAATAAACATAAATAACTAACAAAAAATTTACATGGGTTATATTGTAATTATAACTTTATAGTTACATAAATAATGTTTAACTCTGATAATCTACATTAATTAATATGTTTACTTCTCTATTAATCAGTGGTATGCCATCCTTGGAAGCAGTGGAAGTGCCACTTTCCTTGTATTTTCTAAAATATAAATACTAGTGATGTAACGAATATTCGGTTACTATTCGGCCGAATACCGAATACCTAAAAACAGGAGTAATAAATAACAAAAACATAGTAAATTAATCATTTTGGTATTTAGATTTAATGTTATCGAGTTAGTGTTGTTTGTTTATATTTATTTATAACTTGTAACATGCACAAAATAAAAAAAGTCACATATATTCACAATTTATAATTACAAAGATCAGCACACGTACACGTCTATCGTTGGAGAATCCTCGCACATCTGAGGATCTGACCCTGCTTATTTAAGCGCTCATCTTTGCTCTTCCCTTTCTCTTTCCTCTATCGCTCTAATCCATGTATGCCTGTGCATACATCATAATACGCGCTCACGATACTTTCGATTCATCACTTTTCCGTCATAGAGTTCCCATTTTACAATTACGTGACTCAGCCTGGTGATAACGGAGAAAAGAGACAGATAGGACGTCGATATAAGTCAGTTATGATTTCACAGATTCGAGACAGCTTGATAGCCCGAACGGCCCCTGGCTTTCGCTCGTGCACGCTAAGTGACTTACATTACAAGCATTTAGCTTTCCGAAGACTATGACAACAATTGTTTGGCATTGACAGCCGCGAATTTCGTGCCAATAAGCTGCCTAGACTTGTTTGATTATGTTATCGACTCAATTTCATATTTATTTTCACATTTTCACTTTGCGGTCCTTCTCTGTTCTTCTTCCGTTATTTACACGTGTAGGTCATTTCATTGTTATCCACATTTGATATCATCATTTATCACATACTTCCATGACACTCTTGTCTGTCCGCCAGAACTGCCAAGAATTAACGCGATTGGCAAAGCATAGTGACAGCGGGCCAATAGAGAGCAGGATCCTTGCCATAATGCAGTTTGCGCGTCAATTTTCGTACGTGCGTTAATCAAGCCGAATAGTTTGGCTGAATATTCGGCTATTCAGCCAAGCTCCTGGCCGAATATTCGGTATTTGGCCTGAGGCCGAATATACTATTCGTTACAACACTAATAAATACATATTGTGCGATTATTTTCATATTTTAACGTACAGTACTTTGAATTAATTAAAATTAATATTTTATTATAACCGCATTATGTATCTTATTACAAATTTCTATACTAATGTGAAAAAAATGATAAGATTGCTATCGTATATACAAATATCAGTGTTGAAATGGAAGCACTGTATTGTCGAATACAGGACAGCTTTCACGGCCAAAATAACTGAGTGGTGTAAAGCAGCCAGATTATACACATTCGCGCAGGTGCTTTACAGAGCACCTACCTCACATAGTTTAGCTGGTGGAAGCTACACACCAAAATATTGTATAACGCTTTCAATGTTCTATCCAGGACCAGTTCCAGGCTGTTAGCCGCCTGCCTGCTAGATATTTGGCCGCCCTCGCCCCATTATGTGAATCACGAGTAGATTTATAACTTAACCCAGCCGATAGAAGTTTACTGGCATGTTTTTATGATAGACAGTATTAGTTGACAGTTTTAAAAAAATTCATTAAAATATTTGATATATTTATTCTACTCTCCCATCTCGTATTACTTACAGATTTCAATGTTAAACTAGTGACATTACAATTTAGTATGTCCCATCTATAAGAGAATGCAGAAAAAAATGTGTACAATTCTTGTACAATGTTAAAAAATTAACTGTTACTTTGGCAGCATCATTTACAACTAAATTTAATGAATGAGATGCACAAGGTACAGAAAAAGCTGTAGAATTTATTTTCCTTAAATTTACAATTTATGTATCCATTGTCATAAAAATTTGTCTTTCCACTTCTTTCCCAAGACTACAAATATTCAAGTACAAAGTAACCAGTTTTGACTTATTTCTACTTAAGTAGTAGTTAAATAATTAAGAGATTAGGGAATTAGGGACATAAATAAAACCCTGCCAAAAGAGCTGGAATATTAATTAAACTAAAGCTTAACCAAACCAATCTCTGGCTGAGTACAATGGGGACTGATTTCTTCATAACATTAGATGTAATAAAGACAGAAATTTTTCCAGTTCAACGAGAGTAACTGAAAAGTAAACTTTGGAAATTTCCAGGGACACCTGGTCCTAAAACAAATTAGTTAGAAAACAAATGATGGACAGTCTACAGCTATGGTGAGAAAGTTTTAAAATTTACAACAACCCTGTCGCCTCCTTTGAGGTATACTAGTGTTGCGACAAAAGAGGTATTTGACATTGACCGGTATCGGCATCCTGGTGATTTGGCAGCCCGCGTGCGCGCACGCACTGCATACCTATTGGGACCGTCTCTGATTCCATATATTAGCCACTGGTATGGAGCTATTTGACTAAGTGGATTGTTTTAAGATTTAAAAAGTAAAGAATATTTTATGTTATTTTAATGTATATTTCTTCACAAAACTATATTTAATTATAATTTTCTTTAAAAGTATATTCATACAATTGAAGAATATTTTGTACCAGGTATGTACAGTACATCCACCACACATTTTATTTCACAAACTAAGTTTTTATTATTTTATTTTTAATTGTAGCCCTTATATCATGGCTGGCGATTCGGAATATAATTGTGATATTAAAAATACATTTAGAGAAGTGTACAGTTTTTACTGGCTTATTGAACAAACGAATACAAATGGACCCTAGACCATCACTGATTCACAATTAACCAATTGCTCCTGAAAGTCGGCTTCTTAAGCCCTGGTCACACTATGCGATTTCTAGCCGCGCAGGCAAATGCAACCGCGACGGCTGTTCCCGTTAACTAGTAATCCCCCTCGAAAACCGGCGCGACTGCAATTGCAACTAGAAACAAAAAGTTTGTTCTACTCGCAACGATTGCAAATGCGCATCCAATCAACAAACGCCTTTATGCCACGTCATACAGTGACAACATTGAAAATAGTTCATCATCATGGCGGATAGTCAGAGGATTAATACTTTTACAGAATCGAGATTGATCGAGCTTATTCAGGCTCACGAATACCTGTGGGATTTTAATTCTTCGTTTTATCGAAGATTTTATCTTTTCATGTATTTTCGCCAGCTCTATTAAAATAATCGCCTTTTTTCTTTTATTCATTCCAGAAAAGGAACTGCTTGCTATTTTAATAAGAAAAGTGGCTAAAATTCCGTAAATACTCTGAAGTAGAACGTAAAATATCGGCAAACTCACGAAAGTAGTCAAAAACAAGCTACTGTAATTTTATTGGTTTATTATAGGGTCACGTGTTTCCGAGTTGCAACGTCAACGAACAATGTGTGACCACAAGAAGACGCGCGCAACTCGCGCTTGTTGCAGTTGCAGTCACCTGCGTGGCTACAAATTGCATAGTGTGACCAGGGCTTTACAGAAACGCAGCTTCCCTATCATCAAATGTCATGGCATGCCACTTCTATTAATGTATTCAAACCATACAAGTTATCAGTAAAACCACTTAAATATATATATGAATAAATCAGAGCTTTCAATTTACTTTCATTCTAACTTCAATACCAATCATATTTGATATTATAAGAACTAGATCAGTGTTTCTCAACCTCTAACAAATCATTGCCCCCTTCAACGTAGTATCGCCCCTTCAATAAAACTGTTTTGTAGTATCGCCTCCTTCATTTCAAAATTCTGATGCTGAGGGCCAAGGCTAACACCAAATTTGTACTTCATTGAATAGACTAGTGACCAGTACAATGTTATTTGTTTAGTTATTGTACGATATAACGAATAAAATATCTAATTATTCTTAATATAATGTTTTACTAAATTGCCCAGAAAATTGTTTTTCGCCCCCAAAATATAAATTGTTACTAATCGCCCCCTCAACATGGAAAAACACCCCCGTTGAGAAACACTGAACTAGATAAATAGTAAAATAACCTTCAAACCCAACAACTAATTTATTCTATGTGAATGTTTTCAGCCTGCTTTACTGGCCATCATCAGGCATCTTAGGTCAAATGAGGCAAAGTCAAACAATCTGCTGAATTATTGGGCTATTTTCAGGCTGCATTTTTGGAGTTCTTAAATTTGATTCTTTTAGTTTTGAATATTTGCATTGTTTGTTCTAAAATGCCTGATGTTAGCCAGCAAAGGTTGAAAACATTCATGTGAAATAAATTAGTTGCTGAATTCAAAAGTTATTTTGTGTGTTGTTCTAATCACATACAAATATTAATGAAATTTAAATCACATTTTAAATAAAAATATTCATACAAAATTTACAATAATAATGAATAATAATTCATCCATGTATAAAAAATAAATTTATAGATAAATGCAATATACTTACTCCCAAACCAGGCTACATAACCAATTGTTCATATGGTAGGGCTAGTGATCAAAAGATTACTTAAATTATAAATAACCATGTCCAGAATTATATAAAGAAACAATTTAAAATTATGCATAAATGAATAAATATATATTATCAATTACATAAACTAAAAATACACATAGCATATCAAATTAAGAATAAAAAGCAAAAATTAAACCATTTTGATTTAAAAAGTATATGTAAAGAAAAATTTAAATTTCAAATATTTTCATTTATAAAGTTATGTATAACTTTCATTCATTGTTCCTTATAACTAAGATAATTCTATTCTTAAGATAATAGTTTTATCATCATTTTGCCTATTCTTATCTTTAATATCTCTTCTGTTGAATTTAGTATGATATTGATGTCTTTAATTTGTCATTATAGACGTAACATTTTACATATCTTCATATAGTTATTATTCTTCTTAGGAACAGACTTGTCTTAATCAAGTACAACTCTCATTATACATTTCTGAAAATTTTAAATAAAACACAAAACATTTTAGCAAAACTATAGTAGTCATTGATTTATCTTCTGCTATTTAAGCATTATATATATCAAACAGGGATATAATTATTGATTATTTTCAAAAATAATCTCATTCAGAAGTAGAATCTTACCAAAAGAAACCAAAATTTTTTTTAAAATCCAGGATGATATATGATTTAAAATATTACAAATTGAAGAGTAAATGTAAATAAAACTTTGATGTCTTCACGCATCATTCACAACTGCAGGAACAATTAAAACGAGCTAAATCAACCTTTCCTTCAAGGCTCTTCTCTGCTTATGAATATGTAAACTAATTACTGGTAAAAATCCCTTCACCAGATATTTGTAAAAATATTTCTCAAAAAAGTTTTAAAAAATCCAGGACAAGATATATGCTCGGCACAGTTACACTTCTAAACAAGATCTTTAGGACCTTATCGGAACCACGGACCATACTCACAAGAACAAAAAAGTCAAAGGAACCATAACTCTACACGTGACCCTTAGCAAGATACGGTCCCCCAGAAAACAGCCTACAATTCATTGGTGCACAAGAATAGTGACACAACTCAAAAAAATAGTTCATCCTGAACAGCCATTTAAAAATTTCTTTATTTCTGCAAGACTGTCATGATCTTGGATTTTTAAAATTTTCAAATCTTTATTTCCAAAAAAGATTGAAAATTTTAAAAATCCAAGATCATGACAAAGCCTTGCAGAAATAAACTTCTAAATGACTGTTCAAGAAGAACTATTTTTTTTGAGTTGTGTCACTATTCTTGTGTACCAACAAATTGTAAATTGTCACTCCACTAAGACTATTGTATTTAACTATTTTGCCCAGGCAATTATACCAGTTTTGAATAGCCCACGGGATCATTCATGGAATACTAGACATTATATAGTTTTAGTGGGTTCTGGCGGTGGCTGGGTTGGCCCCGTGCGGGCACCAAGAGACTCACAATAAAGTGCACGACTACATGCAGAGCATAAGACTAGGCATGCGACGGCAAACTCGGAACAATGCACGGAGCACAGAATATAGACAGCAGTACCAGTTCACGGTAAAAACTGACCTTTGGAGGCAAATATCTCACAAAGGGTAGCATGTACTGTACAGGTATGGTCGCATTGACTTTTTTGCTCATACTGTAACTCTGAGGAATGGTAAATCCCTCATTCAGAGTTTACATCTTACCCTTCAATTTGTAATATTTTCAGAAATTTTTAGTTTATACATAAAATTCAGCATAATTAAGTAATAGACTCAAATAACTTATTTTAAATCTTGAAATTTAAATTAAATTTCATGAAATTACCATATAAATGAGCAGATAATTTTTATTGACACTGTTTTCTAATTGTTAAATCAACAAAGGAATTTATCGAACATCACGTAAATATCAATAAACTCGTTCGTGTGGCAAACAATATCAATGAACTTTTTTCAAAGTAAAAAAATGACTCAGAATATTCGAGCAATTAGAGAAAAAATAAGCTATATTTGTAGCAGTATACCTAAGATTATTCTTAATAATATATATTCATACATATATTCATTTGTATACGCTATTAATCTAAATACAATAACAATGACCAGATTAACTAGAACGGATTGCTTACCGCCATCAAAAGAAAGAGGCTCAGTGTTGCCAATCTTTGTACAAATAAAAAAAATATCCATAAAGGTTAATAAATCATAATAAGAATCAATTAACATATCTGCTTTAATATAAAATATTAATTTTAAATAAAAATTAATATTAAAATATATGCAAGATAGGGTTGATCGGATTAGATTTATTCTCGAGCAACCACTATGGATTCATTTACTGTATCAATTTTATTCCCATTGTTGAGGTTTATTTAAGTTTTCTTGAATCTTATCGTAATTAGAGGTACCGAATAATATCTATATCAGCGTTTCTCAAAGTGGGCGATAACGCCCCCTTGTGGGCGCTGGAGGCTTTCAGGGGGCAGTAGAAGGCTCAAAGAGAATTGGGGGGCGTTAAGGAAATCTAGAGGGGCGACGGCAGACAAATTCTATATATAAAAATTCGACGGAATATATATAAAATGTTGACATTTTATATATTTTTTATTTTTTATTGAAGGTCACAACTTGAATATTTCTAACACATTGACTTTTATTTTAGCTCAGTGTTTCTCAAAGTAAGCAATAACGCCCCCTTCTGGCGCAATGAATAGATCTATGATAGAGGCAGGGTATTGAACGGTGATCAAAGGCAAACTTGGGGCTGATAAGAGGAAACATTGCGTTTAATGATTTCCAGATGTTGAGAACAATGTACAGTAAGGACACAAAGTGTGAGATTCATAGAAAAGTTTTCCTAAGAATATTTCCAATCCTTTTCTCACACGAGAAAATGGGTTAGGGGCGTTGGGTATAACTTTACGGAACAAAGGGGGCGGTGGATCGAAAAAGTTTGGGAATCACTGATCTATATGTTTATAAATACGCAATCTATTGTTGATATTTTGGATCATTAAATAAAGGAAAAAATAAAATAACTATGAACTTTTCACTGCAAAAATTTAATAAAATTCCTAGAAATTAGCCTATTTTTCCTTTTGTTATTTCCGCCCTATGCTACCCGAAGCAGCCGAGTGAAAAAACGCGTTGGTGAGATGCGAATCCGCATAGTTGGTAGTTGGTTCGCATCTCACCAACGGGCTGAGCACGTGAAGTTTTTCTGGGCTTACTTTGCGTGTCTAACATCTAAATAGGGGCCAGTTTCCCATTGAAAGTCCTCTCGGATCACAATTCCCTTGGCAGACTCCCCATGTGTTGTGTTGCCGTATCCCACCAAACCAAACCTTTACCGCCCTGCGGATACTAATAGGACCTTTTTAATAATACCCACTATGGGTTCAACATATCCGGAGCCGTGTTCAGTATCGCAGAATTCTTGCTAAGTCTAGTTATGCTGAACTCGTTTCTAATGAATAAATTTATACTTCGTTGTAAATAAGTTAGTAATGGCGCAAAAGAAAAGCCGCCGGTGGAATGCTTTTACGTCACTTGTTCCAAACAAAAAGAATACTAAACTTTTTGGGTTCTTAAACTTCATTCTTCCGAGATAAGTCAGAGCCACTTTCATATTATTAATATACGTATCTAAAGTTGGCCAATAGATGAATCATGGGCTTGATGAACTGTAGTGACATAACAAAGGCTCTCCCAGTCTTTTGTAAAACGCAATATGACAAATTTTTTGCGATAAAAATAACGCTACTGATTAGAGTTGCCACACGTTGAGATGCTCGATGTAGGACAAATCGATAACCGAAAAAAATAGGGATTGATAAAAGAAAAGCATCAATAAGCATGGAGCAAGTATACATGGAGAGGACAGTTCCTATACTCTCTATGCTTTAAAACTTGTAGCGACTGATGATGACGTCATCATCAGTTAATTGTCACCCCAGCCACTAGGGTCGCTACAAGTTTTAAAGCATAGAGAGTATAGGAACTGTCCTCTCCATGTATACTTGCTCCATGGGTGCTTTTCTCGCTTTATCAAGATGGCTGCGCTCATTGATAGGCTCGTGAAAATTGATAATTCTTGATTATAATGTTACATTTCAATCTATTAAATAATAAAAAGTAAATACATAAGAATTTAAATGTTTGTTCGATGATTACTCTTGTTGTGCTTAATCGAGCATTAAAATACTTTTGCATTCTAGTTAACTGTCATTATTTTTCACCGAGGAGCAATGACAAAAGAGATAGCTTAAATCCATTAACATTATTGAACACGTCGAACAGTGAGATTATAGCCAACTGTAAAGACGCCATATTGTTTCGTCATCGCTGTAGTATTTGATGTAAAATTACTACGCGGATGCGTGCAGCTTTCGCTTCAACACCGCTGTTGCACTGCTGGATTTAGCAACGAACGCAAAGATACTGATTACCGAACCAACATTTGAAACCAACGGCCGCCATTATTATGACTGGCAAAAAGTGAATTCTTGTATTCGTGGTCCTGTGTTTTTGTCATCATTTACCTTAGAAATTACTGTCATATTTTATTGGCGAGTCCCACTAGACATTAAACTGATATTTAATGCATTGTAAGTGATAAAAATTATAATTTTTGACATAATATAATTCCAAGTGGAGTGTCAAAAGAACACGCACAAAACAGCAATTGTAGAAAATATAGTAAAATGTATTTCTGAAACGATTTTTATCCCTACTAAATGCGAATCATTTACAAAATTATCGATTCATTTGTAAAAACACGTGTTTACGACACAATCAAATTTTTAAACCATGATTTAAGAGTTGGAAAAATAGCCAAAATTAAGAATCTGTAATCACTTGTCTGTAACTGAATTATATGCATAAACTTCACCTAATGCAGCAAAATGATTCAACGTAAACACCCGATTTTTTAAAACGAAACTGGAAATTTTGTCTAGATTTTTTCGCCATATTTTGTTTTTTTAATAGTTTTTAATTAAGGTTGGAAAAAGATGTTTTCTTAAAGTATGCCGCATTTCTATACTTGCTACAATTCTAATCCAAACGAAGCTCTACTGCATCGGGACGTAATCAACTGGGACATAGGATCTATGGTACCGAAACCCTCTC